TATACACATACATACATATAAGTACATATACATATTTATAAATATCCTTAAAAAAAATATATTTCTCTTTATTACTTTCCAACCCCACGACCCCTTCCCTAATTGGAGTGTCACGCCCTGACTCAGGGGACTCTTATATGTTGAGTCAGGGTGTGGTGTTCTATGTTGTGTTTTCTGTTTCAGTCTAGGTGTTGTAGTTCTGTGTTTGGCCGGGTGTGATTCCCAATCAGAGACAGCTGTCGCTCGTTGTCTCTGATTGGGGATCATACTTAGGCAGCCTGTTGGCATGCATTAGTTGTGGGATCTTGTTCTGTGTATAGGCTTGTTTTGTGTTCAGCCTTAGGACTTCACGTTTCGTTTGGTTTGTTGTTTTGTCATGTGTTTATCAGTGTAATAAACATGTACGCATTTCACGCTGCGCCTTGGTCTGACCCGTCCTTCAACGAACGTGACAGAAGATCCCACCAAACACGGACCAAGCAGCGTGCCCAGGAGCAAACACCCTGGACACAGGTGGGGAAGATTTGGTCTTGGGAGGAGATATTTGCGGGAAAAGGACCCTGGGCGAAGAAGGAAGCCCAGGCAGGAGAGGAGCAATGGCAACACAGAAGCCGGCCGAGGAGGAAGCCCAGAGAAGCAGCCCCAATAAATATTTTTTGGGCTCTCCAAGCCAGTGGTGCGTGTTCCTAGTCCGGTCCTGCCCGTTCCTGCTCCTCGCACCAGGCCTGTGGTGCGTGCTCCCAGTCCGGCCCGGCCCGTGCCTGCTCCTCGCACCAGACCTGTGGTGCGTGTCTCCAGTCCGGCCCGGCCCGGCCCGTTCCTGCTCCTCACACTAGACCAGTGGTGCGTGTTCCCAGTCCGGCCCGGCCCGTTCCTGCTCCTCGCACCAAGGCCAGTGGTGCGTGTTCCTAGTCCGGTCCGGCCCGTGCCTGCTCCTCGCACCAGACCAGTGGTGCGTGTGTCCAGTCCGGCACGGCCTGTGCTCGTTCCACCGGTGCCTGGTCTGGCACCGGTCAGCTGCTCCACTCCGGAGCCAGAGAAATCCGCTCCACAGGTGCCTGATCCAGCTCCGGTCAGCTGCTCCACTCCGGAGCCAGAGCAGTCCGCTCCACCGGGGTCCAGTCCAGCTCCGGTCAGCTACTCCACTCCGGAGGCAGAGCAGTCCGCTCCACCGGTGCCTGATCCAGCTCCGGTCAGCTGCTCCACTCCGGAGCCAGAGTAGTCCGCTCCTCCGGGGTTTAGTCCAGCTCCGGTCAGCGGCTCCACTCCGGAGCCAGAGTAGTCCGCTCCACCGGTGCCTGATCCAGCTCCGGTCAGCGGCTCCACTCCGGAGCCAGAGCAGTCCGCTCCACCGGTGCCTTGTCCAGCTCCGGTCAGCGGCTCCAGTCCGGAGCCTGAGAAGTCCGCTCCACCGGCGTCCGGCCCAGCTCTGGTCAGAGGTTCCAGTCCAGACCCAGACGTCAGCCCCTCTCCAGGTTCGGGGTCTCACACCAGGGTCCAGACAGGGCTTGGAGTATCGTGGGAGGAAGGAGAGGGGAAGCAGCGCGCCGAGGTCCAGACTAGACCAGGGGCGCAACAGGGAGGCGGAGAGTATGTGGTTGTCACGCCCGGAGCCGGATCCGCCTCGAGGCGGAATGCCCACCCGGCCCTACCCTGTTATGTAAAGGTTGTGCGGTCGGAGTCCGCACCTTTGGGTGGGTGGGGGGGGGTACTGTCACGCCCTGACTCAGGGGACTCTTATATGTTGAGTCAGGGTGTGGTGTTCTATGTTGTGTTTTCTATGTTTCAGTCTAGGTGTTGTAGTTCTGTGTTTGGCCGGGTGTGATTCCCAATCAGAGACAGCTGTCGCTCGTTGTCTCTGATTGGGGATCATACTTAGGCAGCCTGTTGGCATGCATTAGTTGTGGGATCTTGTTCCGTGTATAGGCTTGTTCAGCCTTAGGACTTCACGTTTCGTTTGGTTTGTTGTGTGTTTATCAGTGTAATAAACATGTACGCATTTCACGCTGCGCCTTGATCTGACCCGTCCTTCAACGAACGTGACAGGAGTAAACTCGTGAACAACAACACTTAGGCCTCTACTTCCAGGTTATACATACTATATACATTTTATGGACACAGTCAATTTTACAATAATTCTATTTTGTTTGTTTTTACTCCTGAACTTCCTCTGCCCTCAAACTCTCCGATCATTTTCATGATGTCCATCCGGTTTGCTTCTATATGCCATATCTTTCTAACTGTGCTCTTTCACAAAAGCTCTTAACCTATAACCAATATATACTTATTATGGACACAGTATGCTTTACATTAGTTATCTTGTTGTTATTAGTTGTTGTTAGTTGTTATTAGTCCCATCCTTCAGCTCCATTCAACACCTCCCATCTAGCTCTTAACACCATCCATATTGGATTTCTATTTGCCATATATTTTTCAACTGTACTGTGATGTTTCACAAAAGTTCTGAAGCCTTCTATTCTCATTGTTTCTACAGATTGTAAATTTAAAATAAACATTTTTGCTAAAAGTATTATTATATTATTGATCGATTGACTATGACTTTTCAGATCACCCAGAAGTGCTATCTGCAGGGTTAGCTCCAGGTAAATATTGCAATCCTTCAGCCATTCCTGGACCTGTGACCAAAAACAAGCTACAAATGGACAGTACCAAAACAAATTATCTAATGATTCTGTCTCTTCGCAGCAAAATCTGCAGAGTTGGGAAGATTGTATCCCCCATATAAATAACATTATATTGGTAGCAAGAATTTTGTATAGTAATTTAAATTGAAAAATTCTAAGTTTTGAATCCGGCGTCATTTTGCGTATCAGTTCATAAACACTATGTCATAGAATCGGTACGTCAAAAATCTCTTCCCAACTATTTTGCAATCTATATGGGACGGCTGTCAATCCTTTGGTTCTTAAATGAAACTGATATACTTTTTTATTTATCACAATTTTCTTTACCAGTTATATTCTTTAATGCAAGGCTGACAGACAAGTTCCTTACTTTTTCCCCCTACCACTTTCCTCTTCCATTTTTGCAGTAATGCTGCAATTATTTGGTTGTAATTTCGGGTACAGCAGACATTTCCATATGTTTTTGTTAGCTGCATGTGCGTCATAACTCCACCAGTCCTACCTATAATATCATTTACGAAGATTATACTTTTTTTTATTTAATTCAAAAAATAATGTTTTTTTTTATCAATTAGTATATTTGAGTTTAACCACAATATTTGTTGCATTATTTGTTCTGTCGTTTCTGGAGGATTAAATTGAAATTGCAACCAACTTTCTATGGCTTGTTTTAGAAATAGTGATATTTGGGAGATTATTTCCATTTCAAATAATTGAAAGTGAGAGGTTGTAATCTGAATAAAGAGGAAAAGGCCATTCTTGAACATGGGGTGAGACAATCTTACTAATTTGCTAGAGAACCAGTTCGGATTTAAGTATAACTTTTGTATGACTGAAGCTTTTAGTGATAGGTCTAATGCTTTAATATTTAATCATTTCTGTCCTCCGAATTCATATTCATTATATAAATAGGCCCGTTTAATTTTGTCTGGCTTGCCGTTCCAAATAAAATGGAATATTTTTTTCTCATATAATTTAAAAAACTGTTCGCTAGGCGTAGGCAAGCCCATAAGTAAAAAGGTAAACTGGGATAATACTAAAGAGTTAATCAGGGTGATTTTTCCACAAATAGACAGGTATTTAGGGCGGCAGGTAGCGTAGTGGTTAAGAGCGTTGTGCCAGTAACCGAAAGGTTGCTGGTTCTAATCCCCGAGCTGACTAGGTGAAAAATCTGTCGATGTGCCCTTGAGCAAGGCACTTAACCCTAATTGCTCCTGTAAGTCGCTCTGGATAAGAGCGTCTGCTAAATGACTAAAAAAATAAAATAAAAATATTTTAAAAAATTACCTTTCCATGGTAGCAAGATCTTATCTATTTTTGCTAACTTTCTATTGAAATGTATTAGAGTGAGATCATTTATTTCATTTGGGATATGTATTCCGAGTATATCCACATCACCATCAGACCATTTTATTGGTAAACTACATGGTAATGTAAAAATTGTATTTTTTTATGATCCAATACGTAATATAGTACATTTGTCATAATTTGGTTGTAATCCAGAGAGGTTAGAAAATGTATCTAGATCCTCTATGAAGCTGTGGAGGGATTCAAGTTGTGGATTTAAAAGAAAACATGAATCATCAGCGTACAATGACACCTTTGTTTTTAACCTGGCACTGGAATTCTAATCCCTTGATATTATTGTTGGATCTGATTTTAATAGCTAACATTTAGATGGCCATAATAAATAGATATGCCGATAGTGGACAACCTTGTTTTAGTCCTCTTGACAGTTTAAAACTTTCTGAGAAATAGCCATTATTTACTATTTTACACCTAGGGTTAATATACATGATGTTAACCCATTTTATAAGAGATTCTCAAAAATTGAAATGCTCCAGGCATTTATATATAAACTCCAGTCGTACTTTATCAAATGCCTTTTCAAAGTCTGCTATGAATAGCAGGCCTGGTTTCCCAGATTTTTCATAGTGTTCTATTGTTTCCAGTACTTACCTTATATTATCTCCAATGTATCATCCATGTAAAAATACTGTCTGATTAGAATGAATAATGTCCGACAATACCTTTTTAATTCTATGTGCTATACATTTTGCTAGAATTTTTGCATCACAACACTGAAGTGTAAAGGGCCTCCAATTTTTTTAATGGACTGGATCTTTATATTTCCCACTTGTATCCTGTTTCAGTAATAATTAAATCAGACCTTAAATCAGGAGTGGTTAAAACATGCTAATAACGGTCCTCTGAATATATCAAAACAGGTTTGGTATACCTCGACTGGTATGCCAACCAACCCTGGAGTTTTCCCGGACTTAAAGTCTTTAATTGTGGTATTATTCGATGTAAACCATCAGTACCATCAGTAAAACATTTATAGAATGACTTACCATTGTCCTCAATGGAGAAATAGAAGATGTCACTCGTAGCATTGTCACCATCTCTTAGCACGTAGCAAATCTTCATGTCATCAATTTCAGCTGAAAAAGAAAATCATATTGATGTAATTTACTCTTATACTCATCTTGAAACATATTGGCCTTACATGTATAGTTCATGTCATTGCCATGCCTTGCATGTTTTCTAATAGACTCTAAGAAAATAGACTGAGAAAATGAATAATGCTGATATGGTAGGCAGGGTATAATACAATACAATATTACAACATTTGATATGCATATCTGCGATGAACAGTTGTTAGACAGTTCTCTATTATAGGTTTTCTGATGTGGCTTAAAACTACTTCCACATGTCATATTACTGAACTACTACAACCTATTTATACACTGTTGGACAACTTATTTGGATGAAGCCTCACCAGTAAAAAAGAAGAAGAAAACAAAAGAAGAAGAAATGGCTATTGAGATGCAGGGAAGGAGAGCTGATTTAACTCAGGCTGTTTAGTGTCTATCTATCTATTAGTCTGCTGAAAGACAGGAAGCATAAAGAAGAGGCAGACTGCAGTAGCTACACCACATCACGTCTGTCTGCCGCATCGGCTAACAACGCTATGCTGGATTGGGTTCTTAAGACTGATACTATCTAGGAGGAGGGTTGGTTCTGGAGTGGCTTCTTTATAGGCTGGGAGACTGATATCAGGGAGGAGGGTGTGAGGTGTATTACTGCCCCTGCTATCTTCAATATTTGATGTCAAAACATTTCCCTTCAAAGCGGCCGGCACATAAAGCCAGTTTTGGGACACTGCCGCCGGCTATGCTGGATTAGCTAGCGTTATTTACTGTCTGTTTAATAGCGATTGATCTGCCTGAAATATTTAACAGGTCTGCAGAAGGAGAGGAGAATGGGGATGAAGGGGGGTCATTAAATAAAGGAGAGAATGGAGCTGCATCCCACCCAAATGGCACCCTTTTTCCTATACTGTATAGTGCACTACTTTTTACCAGAGCCCATAGAAGTGCACTATATAGGGAATAAGGTGCCATTTGGGATGCTGCCATTTGAGTTCGATTGGGGCCATTCCTTACTGACTGTGTTACTGTTTGCACCTTTTCATTTGTACTGTAAACTGGGCTGTATGTATGAAGTTGTTCTATACTGTAGCTATTTCTGTGGCTTAAACAAACATTGGCCTGCATTCACTGTGAGTGAAGCTAACACATCTCTCTCTCACACCCTCTCTCTCTATCTCTCTCCCTACCTCTCTCTCTCCCTCTCCCCCACTCTCTCTCTACTGTATCTCTCTCCCTACCTCTCTCGCTCTCTCTCTCTGCCTCTCTCTCTCTCAGACAGGGTATTAATGTTCTCACTCGCTATTCTTCATGTCTGTGGCCCCTTGCCTTCACGTAAGGTAAAATATGCTGGTATTTACTCAAGAGCTCTAATACTCTGCAGAAGTTTGCTAGATGAGGTCTGGGGTAGGAGAAACCACTGCCCGGTGAAACCCTATCTATCTGTCTGCCTGAGGAACTTGTGGAACTCCATTCATGGACTCTCTCTAGAAAGACAAAAGATTTCTCTGTCAAATTAAGCATTTTCACAATACTTGATTTCTGTACACCTCTGTGCAGTTGCGGCCAATGGCCATACTAGTTACATAGTACCATTATACAGGTAGGTGTTATAGTAAGCTCTTAAGCCATTATAAGAGCAACAGCGCTACAGCTCTAAGTGAGAATTGCTCAATCACTTATGAAGAATAAAAATAAAAAACATTGGACAATAAAGTTGTATTGTAAAAGACTAAAGTATAGTAGATTATAACTTTCTATTTAAAGTATCGGTCGTCTTACCTTGAGTGAATGTGGTGACGGTAGCGTTGCCTGTACCCAGGTTGATGAGGTATCCATGCTCTGGTCCCACAGTGATCTTAAAGGTGACAGACAGCTGAAGACTATCCCTGTCTTCTGCCATAAGAGTCTTAGAGGTGATGAGGAACCCCAGGTGACCTGTCTCTAACACTCTCAGGGTGGGCCCCCCTTTGTTCACCACGATCTGGGGCACCCCGTTATCCACAGACAGGACTGTGATCTTCATCATCTGGGGGCGCCGTGTCGCGAACACGGTGTCTGGGAAAACGTAGAAGTCGGTGTGCGTCCCGTCAGTCACGGTAAAGGAGAAGGAATCCTTGGAGGACTCAGTACCGTCGTGTTTGTAGCTGATGAGATTCTCATTCAGGTCCTGTTTGGTGAAGGAGGTGACGGGACGGGTGTTGTTGAAGAGGAGGCGACCGTGGACAGGGACCTGGGTGACCGTGAACTTCAGGAGGCGGTCAGCTGTGTCGCGGTCCTCAGCAGTCAGCTCGAAGGGCGTAATGAGTTTGTTCTCTCCCTCGTTAACCACCAGGCTGTGAACCGTTAGAACTGGTTTCTTGTTGTCCACGTCGGTGATGGAGACACGGAACGTGCGGAACACAGGGTTGTAACCGTCGGTGACCTGGAACTCAAAGCTGTCCATCTTGACCTCATCATCGGCCGTGTGGATGTAGTAAACCTGTATTATTATTTTTAAAAATTGCACACATGAAAAGACAAAACAATACGCCATTTAAAAATGTTTACAGAAAATCAAAGAATAAAATCACGAGTATTGAAAAAAATGGTTGAGAATAACACAAAGGAAAAAAACAGTAGTACCTTGCTCCCAGCTAGCTGGAGCTGGGTAAAGGAGGAGATGGGCATGCCAGGCCCGTCGGTACACTCCAGATGGCCTCTCTGTGGGGCTCTGGTGATGGTGAACACCAGGTGTTCGTCTGGACTGTTGAGGTCACTGGTGCTGAGCAGGTCTGTGGTCAACGTTACTCTACCGCCTTCTTTCAGAGAGACCCCCTTACTGACCACGTCAGGGAACACCATGTCGATGCCGCCCACCGTCACGTAGAAGTACCTGTCAATTGACAAAAAGAATATAACAAATAAACAAAACAAACAATTGCAAGACAATTCGTTAGGAGACAACCTGACAAACTGAAATGTCATACCTAGAAAGAATCATCATTGTTCTATAAGCATAGTGCTATATCCAGAATTATAGTCTTGTATTGATGTACAATAGATTTATTTTAATGGATTTATCATTTTTTTCAAGTTGTTTATTCTATTGTTGTAGTGTATTGTTTGTATTTTAGAAAACACATTTGTAAAAATGAAGTACCTGTCGATCAGAGGGTTGATCCCGTCCGTCACGTCAAACTTGATAAGGTCCCGGATTCCTTCCTGCCCGTTGTGGATATAGACAATGAGAGCCTGGTCCACCTGGTACTGGGTGAAGTTCATCCCCTCTGTGATGTTCTCTAACGTCCCATAAGGGGTTCTCCTCTGTAACAACCCCTGGCCCGGCCCGTAGCGAACAACGTACGTCAGAGTACTATCCTCAGAGTCCAGGTCGGTGGCTTTTAAAACATTGTTATCGATCAATTTAACATCTCCTATCTCTATCTCCAGACCGTCATTGATGGCCATCCTAGGTGTCTCGTCATCTACAGGGATGATCATAACAATGATGGTCTTCTCCACGGTATATTTACCGTCCGTCAGGATTAAGTCAAAGCTGTCCTCCTTCGTCTCCGAGTTGTCGTGTTCATACACTATACTGGAGGCTTCCCTGATCTGGTCCAGGGTGAAGTTGGTGACTGTGACGGTGCCAGTGGTCAGCTGGTTGAGGATGAAACCGTGCTTGGGTGGTTTGGTGATGATGAACGTGAGTTCGTCCGAGGGGATGTCCATGTCAGCTCCGTTCAGGATGGGCGTGTCGATGACGATATTCATCCCTTCCATGACGACAAACTCCCTCATATAAATCTCCGGCTTCTCATCGTTGGACGGGATGATAGCGATGGGGAAGAAATGTCTCTCAGAAAAGTTGATGCCGTCGGAGCATCTGAACGTGAACCTGTCCTCGACCGGCTCCACTCTCTTATGGATGCTTTGGACGTAGTAGATGTGGTTCTGTCTGATGTCCTTGATGGTGAATGCACTGATCGCCGTCCCAGACCTGGACTTCTCTGAGCCTGGGGCCGGGGAGATGTTCTCCACATAGCCTGAAGTGGGCTGGACGATGATGGTACAAAGCAGGTCGTCATTAGGAGTGTCAATATCATCAGCGCTAATGTGAAGAATCTCAATCACATTCTTCTCTCCCTCTACGACAGTGAACTGTGGGCCTACGAACACCTCTGGAGCCTGACTGTCCATGGGGAGGATGGTGATCTGTACCCTGACCCCCGTGACCCTGTTGCCCCCTACCGTCCACTCATCAGACATGTCTGTCAGCGTCAGGTTAAAGTAGTCGTATTTAGTGGTGAGGCCGATCTCTCCGCTGGTGTGGGTGTACACCACCAGTCCGTTGATGATGTCAGCCTGGGTGAAGCTTCCTGATTGGACCCCGTTCACCAGGATCTCCCCGAAAACCGGTGGGTCCTCCAGGATGAAGGTCAAACGGAGGTTGTCCGTGTCCTCGTCCTGCCCCTGGATGACGTTAGTCGTGATCTCCGTGGCTCCGTTCTCCAGGACATCGATGTAGGAGCCGATGGTTCCGGCCGGGAGGCTGATGGTTGGGGTCTCGTCATCGATGGGCTTCACGGTAACCCTGATGGTGATGGTCACAACATGGACGCCGTCACTGACATCCAGCTGGAAGAAATCGCTGGTGGACTCGTCTCCATTGTGGATGTAGGAGATCCTGTCATTAGCGATGTCCAACAGGTTGAACGCGTCTCCTTTGGTCAGGTCGGTGAAGGTGTACTGGACCATTCCGTGCTGAGGGGACTGAGTGAGAGTGAAGGAGATCTGGCTACTGTCCGTGTCTAAATCCACAGTATCCAGCTCAGCTCTGGTGATTATGTGCGTTCCCCGCTCTAATATAGTGAAGCCAGTGTTGGTTATCTGAGGCGGCTTGTTGTCGACAGGCTGCAGGAATATAGAGAACGTTCCAGTGACAGTATTCCCTGACGTATCCTCCACCGTGTACTGGAACTGCAGAACGTGGGCTGTGATCCCCAGCTCCAGGTCAGGTGGTTTGTATGATATCTTATGGTGGTTAACCTGAGCCTGAGTAAACTCAGTAACTACAGTGTTTGGACTTTCTGTTAACACAATAGACCCCAGTACCACAGGGCTGTTCTCGTCTGTGTCTGTCGGGGGCTGGGTGACGGTGTACTTTAGATCGCGGTCCTCTGAGTCCAGGTCAGTGTAGCGGAGAAACTTCTTACGGAAGTAGGTGAGTTGGTACTCGTGTACGGTCATCTGGAGGGTGGTGCCGGGATACAGCTCAGGGGGAATGTCATCCACGGGCAGAACCTTGATGATGAACGAGCTCTGTTCTGATTGGTTAGGGGAATCGTTATCATCCTGGACCCGGAATACAAACTGGTCCATGACTGTGTCAGTGCTGTGAGGCCCGGTGTGTCTGTAGAACAGCTTCCCGTCTGTGATATCCTGCTGCAGCCACTCCGTAACCTCTTTCTCATACAGCTCATCCTCAGCGTTGAACCTCCAGGTGGAGGGGTCCTCTGGGGCCTCTGACTGCCTCAGCAGCACCTCCCCTATAGACGAGAACGGGGCCTCTATGGTGAACCTGATAGTGGAGTCCTCAGAGTCGATGTCTGCAGCGCTGAGTGTGAGTGGCGAAATGAGCATAATCTGGTTCTTGAAGAGGATTAACCCCGTGTTGGCGTTGATAATTGGCGGCTCGTCGTCCGTGGGAACGATCGTCAGGGGAAACAGGAACTCCACCTCGTGCTTGCCGTCCATCATCCGGAAGATGATGTTATCGCTGTACGTGTCGCTGCCGTCGTGCTGGTAGATGACCACGCCCCCGTCCAGATCGGCCGGGGTGAAGAACTTCCTGCGTGACCCGAGCACTGTCAGCTGGCCATGCCGCAGCCCGTCGACCACCGTGATCCTGACATCATCCAGGTTGTCCTCGTCACTGACCCCTAGGTTGTGAGAGCTGGACAGTGGTCTGGACTGACCCTCGTAGAGAAGCTGACCCGTATTCCTGGTGACTACTGGAGCAAGCGTGTTCATAGGCTTCACTACAATCATGAAGGCGAACGGGTCAGACACAGCCCCCTCAGTGTCCACCACCTCAAACTCTATCTGGAAGATACGTTCCGTCTCAGAGTCCACAGACGGAGGCTTGTAGGCTATCTTTAGTTCTTTGAGGTCTCCCTGGTAGAAAGAGGTGATGGGCAGGTTCCGGTCATCTGTGCTGACTACATACCCCTCCTCGAAGGAGAGGGGGGTGGTGATGTTGAAGATAAGGTTGTCAGGGTTAGACTCAATGTCCTCGGCAGCCAGCATGTCAGGGGTGATGGCTGTCATCACAAACTGATCCACCTCCATCATCATCATGGCCACGAAGCTGGGTTTAGGAGCCGTGTTCTCCTCTCCATCCTTTATACGCACCATAATCTGGAAAAACTCCTGCTTCAGAAGATTACCCTCTTTATCTTGTAATTCCACAATCATTGGGAAATAATCTATATTCTGTGATTTGTGTGCAAAAGTGTGCTGATAGCAGATATTCATCTTAATAAATTCATCACAGTCCACCATTTTTCCAAGTTTTCCCTCATCCACAAGTTTTCCATACCTGGGTAATGCACTGCCACTGGAGAGAGATGTTATTTTACACTGATGTTCACTCCTATCATAGGTGAACTCCAGAATCTTCCTGTCAATGGGATTACTAGTGCCAAGCAGTTTGTCAACAGTCAGAGGTATGTTTCTGGTTAACACTTCCAACTGTGTGAAAATCACCTCCACCTCCATCATAAACGGAATGATTATCGTGTCGGTATTAGTGTCATATCTGAGCTGTAGCCTCACTCTATCCCGCGGGGGGCTCCTGGACCCGAAGTGAGAATACTTTATGTCATTGGGTCCAAACTCACAGGGAAACTTTTTGGGAGAGAGCTGCCCGGGCCTCTGGGAGAGCGGGTCGTTATCCAGAACGGTTATACTACATCTGTCTCCCGGTTGTACTTGGATTACCAGATCATTTATAGGATCAATGAATACTGCTCTCCCGAAAGGCACGCGTATTCCATTGTTGGCCACCAATATAGCATCCTCTGATAGTTCCGATCTCAATGCATATGATAATCCATAACTGTCGAAAACCTGCGCGGCGGAGTCACCTGTCACAATCACTGCGATCAAAGCAGAGAGCAAAAAAACAGCGCAGGTCCCTTCGTGTCGCCACGGCGGGGAAATAATCCAAGCCATTTGGAGAGAGAAGCCACTGCAAAGACACGTTGAATTTTGCACATAAAATTCAGAAAAACTAAGCGCAGTGCAGCTAAAGTTATGAGAGTATAAAATGAGTGTTGATAAATATCTCACACGCATCCGTGATGAGGTGTACCATACTCTCTCTCTCCGCTGCTCTCTTCTATTCAGGGTAAACTTCATGCACTTGGAGCCCCGGAGTGAGAGATACGCCCTCTTGTCCGCCGATTGGAGAATATTTAGGGTGGAATGCGTTTTTTGATTTTTGAATGGATGAGAAAGATGTCAATCAAAACCCGAAAACGATATTGCATGGGTTGGACTTGAAGAAGCAGGTTGAATACGGAGCGATAATAAATGGAGTGATGTGTGCGGTCAGGTAGGCCTAATAAACCACTTTTCCTTAAAGTGACAATCTGCAGTTCAAACAATAACAACGCAGTCAGGCAGCCCGCCACTGATTTGGTAAATAACTGCGTGATGGGGCTGGAGAAATGTTACCACTCAAATTCATAGACAGAGCTATGGATGCAAGGACTGACCATCCATGAGATCAAAATGATAGTTTTAACCATGTTTTGAGGCTACACAGTGTTTGTTTACAATTACATTGTTTACAAACAAAGCAGTAAAACAAGCTTATGTTTCAACACAATTGAACTAAGCTCATGTATAAGTTATATTCTTCAAGAATCAATGGGCATATATCATAAACTTAAAAGTCCACAAATGGGTGTTGCAATCACATATTGCCACTTTAATCTCTTTCTTTTGTAATTAGTTGACAGTAGACCTAAACACAAATGTCCAAAACATATTAGACTTAATTGGCCCTCTTCACCAGCAATGGAAACGCTGTATGTAAGTCGGTTATTATTGCCAAAATATTTGAAACATTTTGATAATAAGCCTATCTATAACAAGTCTATACAGTAAATCAATAAATATTAAATAACTACGCTACATTATAACGAATCTCCATCAACATTTCATGAAGATATTTTAACAAAGCATTTCGATTTGCATCAAATAGTTTACACATTATACCCTAAAATAGAGGATTCTATGTGGATGAAAATCAATATAGAGGGTAGAGTTTAAGGCGACATGTTCGAGCTCCCTCTTGTGGTGTAATGGAATGTATCGTTTTGGGTAGCTCTGGTCCAGTTCAGAGCCATATTCGGTATATACTGAACAAAAATATAAATGCAACATGTGAAGTGTTGGTCCCATGTTTCATGAGCTGCAATAAAAGATCCCATACATTTTTCATACGCACAAAATGCTTATTTCTCTAAAATGTTGTGCACAAATTTGTTGACCTCCCTGTTAATGAGCATTTCTCCTTTGCCAAGATAATCCATCCACCTGACAGGTGTGGCATATGAAGAAGCTGATAGAAAGAAGAAACAGTATGATCATTACACAGGTGCACCTTGTGCTTGGGGACAATAAAAGGCCACTCTAAAATGTGCAGTTTTGTCACACAACACAATACCACAGAAGTCTCAAGTTTTGAGGGATGCAATTGGAATGCTGACTGCAGGAATGTCCACCAGAGCTGTTGCCAGAGAATTGAATGTTCATAAGCCACCTCAAATGTAGTTTTAGAGAATTTGGCAGTATGTCCAACTGGCCTCACAACCGCAGACCACGTGTAGCCATGCCAGCCCAGGACCTCCACATCCTGCTTCTTAACCTGCGGGATCGTCTGAGACCAGCCACCCAGACAGCTGATGAAACTGTGGGTTTGCACAACCAAATCATTTCTGCACAAACTGTCAGGGAAGCTCATCTGCGCGCTCGTCATCTTGACCTACCTGAAGTTTGGCGTCGTAACCGATTTCAGTGGGCAAATGCTCACCTTCGATGGCCACTGGCACGCTGGAGAAGTGTGCTCTTCACGGATGAATCCTGGTTTCAACTGTACCGGGCAGATGGCAGACAGTGTTTATGGCATCATGTGGGGGAGCGGTTTGCTGATGTCAATGTTGTGAACAGAGTGCCCCATGGTGGCGGTGGGGTTATGGTATGGACAGGCATAAGCTACGGACAACGAACACAATTGGATTTTATCAATGGCAATATGAATGCACAGAGATGCCTTGACGAGATCCTGAGTGCCATTCATCCGCCGTCATCACCTCATGTTTCAGCATGTTAATGCACGGCCCCATGTCGCGAGGATCTGTACACAATTCCTTGAAGCTGAAAATGTCTCAGTTCTTCCATGGCCTGCACCTTTTATATACCTTTATCTTGTAAAATATATGTTTAATCAGAATGGAATTACTTGTATAGGCTAATAGATCAATACAATAGCAGAACATTTTTACTGACTAGCAGTGTTGGGGAAGCTACTTTGAAAATATAGTTTAAGCTACCAATAACTTCTCACTCTAAGAAGTTAAGCTACACTAAAGCTACCCTTAAGAAAAAATATAGTTGACTTAACTAAAGTTACTTTGAAAAAGTAGTTCACAAAACTACTTCGTAAAAAACTATCATATCTAAATCTGAAAAATCATAGACTACAAATTGCGAGAACACATCTCCCTGGAGTCAGATGTTAATAGAATGTGTTGTTTAGCCTATTAAACACAAAACCATATATTTTAAGTGAGAATTAGGCAGGTCTGATGCCGAAAAATATAATAAAATAATTGCCTACTTCCCCCACATTTTATTTTATTTTAGCAAAAAAAGTAGTGTGTAGTTCCAGTAGTTAGCTACACCGCTACATGGCCCAAAAAAATATGAACTACTGAAAACACTACCTAGATTTGAATTTAGTTAAACTACCACCAAGCTACTGCAAAATGTAGTTACATTACTAGTTGAACTACATGTAGTTCACTACTCCCCAACAATGCTAACTAGGCCTACTGTATAAGGACATATTGCACCTACAAAGTCATAATACTAATAATTCCTAATACCAATACACATACATATTCCTCATTCTACATATTCCACATACTAGGCTTACATTATGACCCAATGGGTCTAGCCCAGGACAATCATCCGAAATATATGATGTGGGATATGTGTGTCGTTGACTGACATGTCATGCATAGCATTGCATGGCCCAACAACCTGCACGCTTGACCCTATCCCCTCCTCTCTTCTCCAGACCATTTCTGGAGACCTTCTCTCTTACCTCACCTCGCTCATCAACTCATCCTTGACCACTGGCTATGTCCCTTCCATCTTCAAGAGAGCGAGAGTTGCACCCCTTCTCAAAAAACCTACACTCGATCCCTCCGATGTCAACAACTACAGACCAGTATCCCTTCTTTCTTTTCTCTCCAAAACTCTTGAGCGTGCCGTCTTTAGCCAACTCTCTTGCTATCTCTCTCAGAATGACCTTCTTGATCCAAACCAGTCAGGTTTCAAGACTGGTCATTCAACTGAGACTGCTCTTCTCTGTGTCACAGAGGCTCTCCGCACTGCTAAAGCTAACTCTCTCTCCTCTGCTCTCATCCTTCTAAACCTATCTGCTGCCTTTGATACTGTGAACCATCAGATCCTCCTCTCCACCCTCTCCGTCTTGGGCATCTCCGGCGCGGCTCACTCTTGGATTGCGTCCTACCTCACAGGTCGCTCCTACCAGGTGGCGTGGCGAGAATCTGTCTCCGCACCACGTGCTCTCACCACTGGTGTCCCCCAGGGCTCAGTTCTAGGCCCTCTCCTATTCTCTCTATACACCAAGTCACTTGGCTCTGTCATATCCTCACATGGTCTCTCCTATCATTGCTACGCAGACGATACACAATTAATCTTCTCCTTTCTCCCTTCTGATAACCAGGTGGCGAATCGCATCTCTGCATGTCTGGCAGACATATCAGTGTGGATGACAGATCACCACCTCAAGCTGAACCTCAGCAAGACGGAGCTGCTCTTCCTCCAGGGGAAGGACTGCCCGCTCCATGATCTCGCCATCACGGTTGACAACTCCTCTTCCCAGAGTGCAAAGAACCTTGGCGTGACCCTGGACAACACCCTGTCGTTCTCCGCTAACATCAAAGCGGTGACCCGATCCTGTAGGTTCATGCTCTACAACATTCGCAGAGTACGACCCTACCTTACACAGGAAGCGGCACAGGTCCTAATCCAGGCACTTGTCATCTCCCGTCTGGATTACTGCAACTCGCTGTTGGCTGGGCTCCCCGCCTGTGCCATTAAACCCCTACAACTCATCCAGAACGCTGCAGCCCATCTGGCGTTCAACCTTACCATGTTCTCTCACGTCACCCCGCTCCTCCGCACACTCCACTGGCTTCCAGTTGAAGCCCACATCTGCTACAAGACCATGGTGCTTGCCTACGGAGCTGTGAGGGGAACGGCACCTCCGTACCTTCAGGCTCTGATCAGTCCCTACACCCAAACAAGGGCATTGCGTTCATCCACCTCTGGCCTGCTGGCCCCCCTACCTCTGCGGAAGCACAGTTCCCGCTCAGCCCAGTCAAAACTGTCCGCTGCTCTGGTACCCCAATGGTGGAACAAGCTCCCTCACGACGCCAGGACAGCGGAGTCACTCACCACCTTCCGGAGACACTTGAAACCCCACCTCTTTAAGGAATACCTGGGATAGGATCAAATTAATCCTTCTACCCTCCCCCTACCCCACCCCACCCCCCAATTTTTTAAAAAAATAAATAAATAAATGAAAATATAAAAAAACATGTATATATATATATATATATATATATATATATATATTGTAAAGTGGTTGTCCCACTGGCTATCATAAGGTGAATGCACCAATTTGTAAGTCGCTCTGGATAAGAGCGTCTGCTAAATGACGAAAATGTAAAAATGAGTAGGCAGCTAGCTGCTTATAATGAATGTGAGAGAGGGCATGGACAACAGGCTGAGGTCAACACCATCATAAAGGGATGTATTGAGTGTTCTAGTCTGCTGGCACACGGTTGAGTAATGTCTCTATGCATGCATCCCCAAATTACACCCTATTCCCTACATAGTGCACTACTTTTAACTAGAGCCCTGTGTCTTAGTTGTGGTTGATTTACTCTATCCTGCAGAGTTTAGCAGTGCTAAGAGCCATGCAGTGACTTCCTCAATCTGTGTCCCCCTCCCCCTCCCTCCCTCCCTCCCTCCCTCCCTCCCTCCCTCCATCCGTCTCTCTCATCACCCAGGTCTTCTAGCTGTCAGATGTTTCT